CAGTGGTGAGAATCTTTGTCTGCTTGATATTGAGCCTCAGTCCATACTGAAGGCTGCAGTCCTTTACCCTCTGCAACAAGTGCATGAGGTCCTCCTTAGTTTCAGCAAGCAGGCTTGTGTCATCTGCATTCTCCACTAGTTCAAGTTTTTCTCGTCAGGCTCCTGCACACGTTAAGAGAACTTGGACAAGCCCACCGCCATCAAGCTGGTTCTCGCTCACGACGCCCTCCATGCGGTTCTGAGGTTGTCGGTCTGCACAGGAGGACACTGCCCATCTTTCTTCTGCAGGCCGGCTGGTGGATTCGAACCACTGGAGACCAGAGGCCTTCGGCTCAGCAGCACAACCCGTTTTAGACTTCGCCGGCAGAGCTCCCCTAATACACTGCCAAAGTGAATTGTCATTGTTCTCGTGTGCTGTCCAAATCAACCCACAGCTGACCCGCCAGCAGGTTTGCAGAGGCAGGAAAATGACTCCGGAGGAGATTTTCCATCCTTCTCTTGGGGAACAGCTGGTGGATTTGAACCACGTGTCATTGGGATTGTAATGCTACTTCTTAGCACCAGGTCCCCAGAGCTCCACCAACTGCACATGAAGTGTACAGACACCACTTCTATATGTACTCTCTGTACACTTCTAGATGTACACACATCCTTCTCTGTCTGGGACCCAGTGCTCAGGTGAGGGACGAGTAGCCAGGAGGAGTATGGTCACTGGATCCTGGTGGTCAGCAGACCCTCAGCTTGTATCTGAGTTCAAATTCAGTTCAAGTTGATACTGGCTATATGACTTCTAGGCTTCATTGTCCCCGTCCGTGAGATGGGTCGACAGTAGACTTGCCCCTTTTCCCTGAGGCTGGAATAAGCCAGTGTGTATCAGATCCCCTTTGGGGCAGCAGGTGGGACCTGGCTGACTGCCTTGTCCTTCCCTCCTGGCTGTGGCTGTTTGAGGACAGTGAGGGTGGCTGTCCTTGTCCTGGAAGGCCATGTTCAAAGACGGCCGAGGATGACGCAAGCCACCTCAGCTGTCTCGCTGCGTGACATTGGTTTGTGTGTTTATCTGATCGGCCTGGGCACCAGGGGAGCTGTGCGTGGTGAGTCTGGTGAGTCTGGTGACACAACATGGCCAGCTCAGGGAAAGCCACTGTGTCCCTGGGCAAGCCGCTGCAGAAACAGAGGCCATGATAACGGTGTGCCAGGGGCACCTGAACCCTAACAAGGACAACAGAACCTGACCCCGAGGGGGCACAGGTCAGACTCAGCCCCTCTCTCGACCCTTCTCACCGGCTCTCACATCAGCACATTGTCTTTATCTGCTGGGATCAAGATTCCCTTGACATGACCACACAGCACTCGCTGGCCACATTTCCCCATTGTAGGGTTTATTGGACAAGTCCAGGTTACAGCTCAGGATCGGGGGTCCTCAGGATAGTTCTCCCATCAGAATCACCTCTTCTCAGCGGTGGTCACTGTCAGGCCTCTCGCTGGCCCTTGGCCCTGTAACCCCATGGTCCCTTGGCTGGGTTGTATGCCCTGAGGCTGGAATCACACTTTCTTCTGTGGCTCAGTTGGCAGCCAAACAGCAGACGTGTGAGTGATCAATATCACCAGGGAGGAGAAATCAATCACATGGGATCAATAGGGCACCACTTGACTTGCTTGTGATGCTAATTGTGTTGTTCAGTGATTTGCATATTCTTTGGATCGCTTTTCTTTGGAATGGTCACAAGCATGGGCCTCCCACTCCAGGCTACTGCCTTCCAGATATCTTGGCATAGACCAGTGAGCACTTTGTCACCACAGCCATGTGCGGAAACATCCCGTTAGGGATTCCATCAATTCCTACAGCTTTGGTGGAGTTTTTTGCCAGTGTCCCCAAGATAGCTTGGAATTTTTCCTTTAGTACCGTCAATTTTTTTAAAATTTTATTTTATTTTCATTATTTTTTGTGTGTGCCATCAAATCAGATCTGACGGATACAGGAGGAGATTGTTCCTCCTTTTCCAGCAGAGCATCTGGTGGGTTCGAAACGTGTACCTCTGAGATTGCAGTGCAGCTTCTTGCCACCAGAGCTCGCCAGTACCGTCAATTCTTGATCATATACTACCTCCTGAAGTGGTTGAAAGTCCACTAGTTCTTTTTGGTACAGTAACTCTGTGTTCCTCCCATCTTTTGGTGCTCCCTGCATCATTCAATATTTTGCCTACAGAATCCTTCAGTGTTTTGGCAGGGGGTCTGTTTCGCTCACTGTCTTACCTGCAGCTCATGAAGCAGTGTCTGACAGGTAGAAGGTGTTCAACATAAGTTTGCTGAAAGACTGAATGTATCAGTGAACAAACAGATGAAAAAAGGAATGGGAGTGAGTGTGAGTGAATGAATGAATGAGCAAATGACTGAGTGAATGATGATGAGACTGACTGAGTGGATGAATGAGTGAGTGAACGGATGAGTGGGTGAGTAGATGAGCGAATGAATGGATGAATGAGTGAGTGAGTGAGTGAATGGATGGATGAATGAGTGGATGGATGGATGGATGAATGGATGAGTGAGTAAGCCATCGGATGAGTGGTTGAGTGGATGGATGAATGAGTGAGTGGATGGATGGATGGATGAATGAGTGAGTAAGCCAACGGATGAGTGGTTGAGTGGATGGATGAATGGGTGAGTGGATGGATGGATGGATGAATGAGTGAGTAGATGGATGGATGAATGGATGAGTGAGTAAGCCAACGGATGAGTGGTTGAGTGGATGGATGAATGAGTGAGTGGATGGATGGATGGATGAATGAGTAGATGAGTGAGTGAGTGAATGGATAGATGAATGAGTGATAGATAGATAGATAGATAGATAGATAGATAGATAGAGGAGTGAATGGATAAGTGGGTTAGCAAACGGATGAGTGGTTGAGTGAATGGATGAATGAGTGAGTGAATTAATGGATGGATGAATGAGTAGATGAGG